TAGATTAGACACTTCTATGCAAGAAGGATGTTCAAAGGAATGTACTTTGAATGTGAGACTTCATGACTATGGAATTGTCTTGTAACAATCTCCAATAGAGCATTTTGTAATTTCATTGGCCGAGTCTTGGTGACTTTTGTGTCGTGACATTACGAAATGACCGTTGCATAATATGTTCGAATCTAACATATTATAGGAGTGGCGAGAACTTTTATTCTTACACTAATGGATTAGGAATTGTGAAATGAGGGTGATTGAAAATTTTATTCAATTATACTATTTCACAAAGTAAGGACCATAGGTAAACATAGTGTGTATGCTAAGAGCATGGGACAATTGTTGTTATAATTCAAGTAAGGAGTCGATTACCCGAAACAACAAATAATGAGTAATCAATATGGTGATTAAATAAAATGTTTTACTTATACTCAAAGGTTTGGGACCATATAGGATTAGTATTATTCTTGTGTTTCACTTTGCATGTTTTGACTTCCCGAATAATAAGATTATTCAAACCCTCCATAGTCGCTCATTCTTTGGAAGTAGGAATGAAAGAAGATTGTCATGAATCTGACTATAGATTGTCTAAAGTGTTTTAGACATAGGAAACATTTGTAGCAGGGTTCATGAGTGCTACTATAAGATTAGAGTATTGGATTAAACCCACTCTCACTTGGATCGCTTCATGGATTTTATCATGAGTGATTGGTGAGACGATAATATCTTATATTCTTGAAACTGAGATGTGTGAGTTGTATCTTGCGATTCGGTTACACATTGATAATATGTGAACGCACCAGTAACTTGGTGTTATAAATGTATTGTTGTGTGTGATTCGGTGAGTGAGTACAATCGAGCACTGAGTCAAATTTTATCCGTTCCTTTTACCCAAAATGGGATAAAAGCGATACTTGTGGGCCCCTCGATGATTTTGGGATGACACCCTAAGCGCATGGCCAAGCCGGGACTGAGTTGATGTGTTCAGTTGTAGTTAGTTGTCAGTCGTTATAAATCAGAAATCGGTAAACAACAGATAGACTGAGAGAATGATTATAATCCATCTCTCATGTCTATACAATATCTATAATGGAGGAATATATGATCCCTTATCTAAAGGCAGGTTGCTGATAAGATTAGAGTTCGACAGCGTCTTTGAGAGCTACGATTACTGATCGAATTGTACTTACATTATAGTCACTAGAGTTATCCAAGTGGGAGACTGTTGGATTAATGACTAAGCCCGTAACTATATTTGGTATGTACTTGACTCGGTTGTGTATGGTCCTTTTGGGTTGCCTTCACCAAAGCAAGTTGATAGGATGATTTATGGAGAAAGAGGATTAATTATGATTTATTAATATATTATATGAATAATATATTAAAGGAGAAATCATATTGTTTAATTAATATTAGTCAAGAATTAATTAAGAACTAGTTTTGTGACTAAAAGACATTAATTAAACTTAGGGGGACTGGAATTGTAATTATAAGATAGTTGCAATTGGGCTATGGATCACCTTGGAACATAGGTTGGACGAATTCTACGGGAAGCCCATATGGAATTCGTCCAAGGGTTGTTCTAATGCGAGTCCATGGGCTGCTTAGGGCCTAAGATGTCAAATTAGGTTTCCCTACCTGATAACCCTAATTGCCTCAATATATAAGGACCCCTATAGCCCCAAAAACCTGGGGAACTCTCTTGGAAGAACCCTAGGACGTTTTTGGTGATTCTACTCCTTTTCATAAGTCATTCTCTTTCTTGTGGTGTTTGTAAGCTATTAGAGGAGTGACACTTGTGACTCTAAGCACCAAAGATAAGAAGATTCAATCCATTCCACATGAGGTAATCATCTAGATCTGTTATTATGTGATAATTCTAAAATGCAAATGATAGATTAGGGTTCTTGAGTCTTGGATGAATTTCATGTACAATAGAGAAACCTAGATCCAAGCATTAGGGTTTGTATGAGCACATAGGATGTTCTTATGTATAAGACCCATCAAATGGCTACTAGGCAAATTCTTGTCCCCAATTGAGCACCTTTGCAAATCGAGGATCGGATTCCACCACCAATCTTGCTCACACTTTTCAAGCTCAATGTCATGTCGCCAACAATTCTCCTGATTGGTATGTCAATTCTTGGGTAACATCACACATGACATCCAGTTTCACGAATCTTGACTCCACAACTCCTTATGTTGGTACTGATCAAGTCATCTTTGCAAATCGTAACTCTTCTTCTATATCCCATATTGGCACAAAAACTCTATCTCCAGCCATCAAGTTATCTGATGTTCTTGTTATCCCTAATATAACCGATAATCTCCTAAGCATTAGTAAGCTGATTCATGATGCTCCTATTGATGTTTTATTTTCCAATCCATTTTTTGTAATTTAGAATCAGGTAACAAAGGAAATATTGGCAAAGGGAAATGTGAGAACGAATTATATGTGCTGAAGCAAGGACATCAAGTTTTTCTTTCTACTTTAAATCTTCCAAAATATGTGCATCATATGAATTGTGGCACAATCGATTAGGGGTTGTTTCATTTGACATTATTTCATTACTTAATAAATCAGGTGTTTTGTCTATTACATCTTTATTACCTACACCACATGTTTATTCTTCATGTCAATTGTCTAAAAGTAAAAAACTACCGTTTCCAATCAAGCCCAAACAATCACTACAAGTACTAGATTTAGTTCATTGTAATCTTTGGGGACATGCACCCATAGAATCTACAGATGGTTATATATATTATTGCATTTTATTGATGACTTCTCAAGATTTATGTGGTTTCATCCTCTAAAGTTAAACCTTGATTTCTTCCATGCTCTTACCACATTTTTAGCCTTTGTACAAGCTCAATTCTCCTGCAAAATAAAAGTTTTTCAGAGTGATGGTGGGACTAAGTTTGTTAATAATCGGGTCCACTCACTTCTTGCCACTAATGAGACTCATCATGAGCTCTCGTGTGCCTATAATCCTCAAAAGAATGGCAGAGCAGAACGAAAACACAAGCATCTTACTGAAATGGGTCTTACTATTTTATTTAATGCACAAGCTCCAGCAACTTTGTGGGCTGCCTTCCAAGATTATTGGCTATAATGTGTTTCAAGCTTTTGGGTGCATTGTCTTTCCTTATTTATGTCCTTATGCAGCAAATAAATTGGAACCTCAAAGTGCTCCATGTCTTTTTATCGGTTATAGTTCTCAATATGAAGGATATCGATGTCTGGATCCGACATCTAGTCGAATTTATACCACATGCCATGCTGTGTTTGATGAAACCCAATTTCCATTTAGTGACCTCACTTCTCAATCCGATAAGGCCACCTTGGTATTTTATTGGTTTGATGACATTGCCACGTCACTTTCTCCAGCTCCACCTCTCGCGGAACCAGCTTCACAGCCATCATTGGCTACGCTTTCTTCTGCTCCAATATCTCCATGTGTCTTATGCTCTTCATTAGCGGCCCCCACTCCTTTGAATACTATTCAACTTACTGAAGTTATACCATCACAACCTTCATCCTCGATAGATAATGAAGCACCACCTGTACATCCTGCTAATGCAGACCAGCCTCTAGTCACGATGCCTTTCAGACCTTCATCTTGCACATATCCTATGGTGACTCGATCCCGGGAAGGTATTTTCAAAACTAAGCATTTCATTGATCTTGCTTATCTCCAACAATCACCATTGCATCAATTACTTGTTGCTGATAAAGAGCCTCATGGTTTTAAGTCTGCCTCTAAAAGTCCACGTTGGCTATCCGCTATGGAAGATGAAATGCATGCACTACGCTCTAATAACACTTGGCCTTTGGTTCCTCATCCACTCAACTCAAATGTAGTTGGATCAAAATGGGTATATCACATTAAGTATAACTTTAATGGCACAGTACAAGGTTACAAAGCATGTTTAGTTGCACAAGGTTTCAGTTAGATTTCTGATCTTGACTATACATATACTTTCAGTCCTGTGGTTAAGGTTGCAGCTGTCCGTATTGTTCTTTCTTTGACACATAGTTTCCTAATCATGTTTGTCAACTTCACAAAGCCCTCTACGGTCTTAAACAAGCGCCATGTGCCTGGTTTCAGCGTCTCAGCTCCTTTCTTGTTAGCCTTGGCTTTGTTTGCAGTCGAGCAGATACCCCACTTTTTGTTTTTAAACGTCACTCATATATTTTGTACCTGTTGGTATACGTTGATGACATTATACTCAGAGTTAATGATCCTTCTCTCATTCGCAAATTCATTTCCAAATTACACTCTGAATTTGCTGTTAAAGATCATGGAACTTTGAATTATTTTTTGGGTCTTGAAGTCTCCTATACAGATGATGGTTGATTTTTGACACAAGCCAAGTATTCCCATGATATTTTACTTAGAGCCAACCTACTATACTCTAAGCTTGTTTCTACGCCTTTAGCCACTTTCGAGGCACTTATCTCCACTGGCTCTCCATTTTCGGATCCTACTACTTATCGATCATTAGTTGGCGCCCTACAATACCTCACCATCACTCGTCCATACTTGTCCTTTGTTGTTAATCAAGCTAGTTAGTTCCTACATGCTCCAACTATTGATCAATTTCAAGCAGTTAAACGAATTCTACGATATGTTAAGGGCACCCTAACTTACGGGTTGTACCTTACTCATCCACGATCATCTTCAATCCTTGGCTATTCGAATGTGGAATGGGCTAGGTGTATTGAGACTTGTAGGTCTACCTATGGCTATTCAATATTTCTTGGTGGTAATCTTGTTTCCTGGAATGCTAAGAAACAACCTACTGTCTCCAGGTCTAGTTGTGAGTCCGTGTACCGGACCATGGTAAACACAGCTACTGAAAATAGTGTGGATAACTCATTTACTACGTGAACTCTATGCTCTTCAACCTAATCAACCTATGTTGTTATGTGACAATAAAAGTTTTTTATTTCTCGGTCAGAATCCAATTTCACACAAAAGAGCTAAGCATATTGATATTGACTAGCACTTCATTCGTGAGCTCATTGCTTCTGGACAGCTATACACGCGTTTTGTGCGAACCTCTTTACAGATAGCAGACATCTTGATCAAAAGTATTCCAAGGATTCTATTTGAGAAATTTCGAGCCATGCTGGGTGTTGGTCCCCCACCTCTACGCTTGCGGGGGTATTAGCGATAAATCATAGTTATTTATTGTATTTATCTAGTCTCTGTATTTTAGCATATCTTGTTATGTTATCTTTGTACTCTCTGTATTATATATAGTATTTATTACAATGAAATCTTTTAAGGTGAACTTTATATGCCTTATACTTATCCTCGTACCTATATGAAATGGTGACAAGAGTAACATTTTCATAAACTTAATAACATTTTAAGACACTTGTCACTATTTCACATGGGTAAAATAATAAGTATGAACAAAAGTAGAAGGATATTTAATTTCTCTTGTTAAGGATAAATACCTTTCACTTAGCTTGAAGCTAAGTCTTCCATGTTGTCTGGTTCCGATTTTATCCTTAGAAGCATCTCCATGTTTTTCAGTTACAACCCATTCGTTCACTCTTTGAGTTTCAAAGAGTCCAATAAACGTAGCCTTACATCGATGGAGGGACATAGCATTCTCAATTACAATCCAAAATACCACCAAATATAAGGACCTACAAAAGAGGATGGAAGTATTTCAAACATCCCATTCCTAGTAAAAAGACTAGTAACTATATTAGAGAATAAAAACCTTGGAGTCCCAACAGCATTTAGGATAGTGATGATGGTTGGGATGTAAATCGTACCCCACCTTGGAACTTCAACTTCAGGTACCCACACAGATATAGGAATTACAACACAATAGAGCATGAATGTAACAATATGAGCCACAATCTTCCTTACGAAGAAGAAACTGTATATTAAATGTAGCTTCTTCCACAATGTAACTTTCTGGATAACAAAGTAAATGATTCACAAATCTTCAAACTAAAGGAGAAAGAGAATAATGATGTTACCTCACTTATGATAATCTCATAAACCATTTTTCTAAAAAGGTTTGCCGCACCACAAGACCATCGGTGTTGTTGGTAACGATAGGCTTTCAACGAACTTGGTAGCTCGTTTTTAACCTACGTATCAAAACATAAAGACTTAAATTAAGATACAAAGAAAGGTTATACTCATACCGGAAGTAATACGTTTCAATCGTTTTACCTTTATTGAACCAATGTACAAGAATTTCCAGCCTTTAAGACTAGCCCTAACTGCTAGATCCATATCTTCAACTGTAGTACGATCCTTCCATCCTCCTGCCTCATTAAGTGCAGCCATTCGCCAAACTCCAGCAGTCCCTACAAAAAACATATAACGGTACACTTTGATTTACAACGGCGCTTTAGAACCTTAAAATTAAGTCCAACAACATTTCTATTACCATTGAATCCAAAGAATGCATAAGTAGAAGAACCAACTTCTTGCTCCACTTTGAAATGGTAGTTAAGTGACATCTCTTGTGTTCTTGTCAATAAGCATTCATCTGAGTTCACTATAGCATCATGACATGACCACCATAAAACGTATTAATTAGTTTCTGCTTGTTTATATTATATTCCCCAAACACGATATAAATGAGACAAGCATAGAAAACGTTGGAATTTCTATATGTGTATGTTATGGGTACGTAACATTTGAACATGCTAACGTTAAAAATAATGCAAGCCGCAAAACTTTAGCCGTTATTATCCTTTAATTTAAAGAAAAAGTAATTAATTTATTTTCATTAACGGGTAAATTAACAATCGGAACATGCTGACTGAGCACAAAGATACCTTGACAAACCATGATAACCTTCTTTTTAAGTATATACCATTCATACTCTATGATCTAAGTAAAAGGTGACATCATATGTTTCCATTAAATAGAAAGAAGCAAAAGTTCACAATTATAACATGAAAATCAATTTACAACGACCAAAATGAATATAACACCAAATATTTAGTTTTACATTATTATTAATACTAATAACATGGTATTATAAAGTATTATTGTAATATAATAATACGTTTGATTTCCAAGGGGTGTCAATGTGTAATAGCAACGTGTTGTCAAGTAATCTTAAGGTCACGGGATTAAATCGTGTTAAATAGATTCATCTAATTATCACAACTTAACTTTTCCTTATTATATCACATCATCAAGTCTTGTTCGATACTTTTGATACATGTTTTGATTCGTTGAATAAACAATAATTTTATTCATACAAAATAATTTATGTTTTAGAATATTATACAATACAATCTTCTAGTAGAATTCTATAAAATATAAATTTTTATATAAAATAACTACTATTTGTGAGATGTATGTATTAAATGAGTTTATTTAAAAAAAATAAACAAATATTAATATATCTAACAATTTAAGAAATTTTAATTTATGAGGAAAATAATAAAATATTAATTAATAAAATTGAAGTTTTTATTTATCTTTTAAATTTAAATTAATAATTTAAATAAATAAACAACTAAAATAGTTGAATTCAATTTTGAAATTTAAAAATTATAATGAAAATTGCATTAATGAATTATATATATATATATATATATTATATGAAATTTAATAAATTGGAAAACCCACAAAATAACATATGGATATAATTTAATTTAATTACCATAAAATGACATATAGCATAATGTATAAGAGAATGATAAATGGTAAAATTATTTTTATTTATTAAGGAAGATTATATAAGAATCTACTCCCATATTTTTTATTGACTTGTTCATTAAAAGTCACAAAAACAAACTTTTTTTTTACAAAATCTACTTAGTTATATAAGAATCTACTCGCATATTTTTTATTGACTTATTCATTATAAGTGGCAAAAACAAACTTTTTTTTAAAAATCTACTTAGTTATAGCATTTCAACTCAAATATGAAATAACTATCATTGTAACTTGATAGGCTTGTTTATAATATAATATTATAACAACAAAAAATAAATGCATTATTATAATTTGATAGAGTTTTAAGAATCTTATACTTAATAAGAAACAAATACTCAAACATTATCATAGAAAACGTGAAAGTTATATTTTATATGCACAGATAAATAAAAGTAGTAAGAAATTGTATTTAGTTTGTAATAATGATAATGATAATTATTATGAGTCTGTATTGGACGACTTGGTGAGCTAAAATCGAACCATGACCATTATAAACGGTTAATGCATGTTATTAGTCAATGAATATAAGTTAATATATGTTTTGATTAAAAGATTTAGTCAGTTAATAGTTATATTTAATTATCAATATTAGTTAACCATAATGGTCTAAAATGACAAAAAAATAATAATAATAATTTACTATAAAAAGTTAAAATCATAAAGTACATTGCTATAAAAAGTGAATGAGTAATTTGCTATAAAAAATAAAAAAAAATAAAGTATATTGCTATAAAAAGTATATAACCACATTAATAGGATAGAAGATCCTATTCCATCCAATTCTAAATAATTACCCTATAAAAATTTAGTTCCTAATATAATTACATATATTTAATATTTTATTATATTAAAAATATTTATTAATATTATTGATTTGGTTCGACTCATAATAAATAGATTTTAAATGAAAAAGAGAACAATATGTATTTTTGATTCATAAAAATTAGAAACCACACCACCTTTTGTAATAATGGTCCGCTTATATTAATTTGGTTCTGATTCGGTTAATATGTTCATCCCTATTAATTATTATCATTTATTTAAAGTTAAAATATTTTTTTATTCATATTAACATTTTAATTGTAAATACTAATGCTTTAAACATGGGACGAAACTAAATTTGTCTTTTTAGTAAAAGAATAGCAAAAGAAAATTAATTCATCTTCCTCGCCCCAAAAAATGATAAAGGTTTTAGTAGATTTAAGAAAAAGAAAAAAAAAAATCCAATTTCTTATTGATGTATTCCGGTTACTTCGGATCCCTTTGAAACCTACAGGAACATGTTAACAATTAATGTTTTGAGTTTTGAGTAGGGAAGACAATGGATACGGGTATATCAGGTTTCGTGTTCCTCATCCCCATACCTGAATTCCGATCCCCATCCTCATACCCGATCTCATCCCCATCGGGGATTAGAAATCTATCCCCATCCCCATCCCCATCCCCATCCCTAATAGGTAATCGGGGATTTTTCCCGATTACAAATTTCTGAACTTTTATGAAAAATAACTCATAATTATATATTAACCAACAAAACAAAAACTAACATAATTAATATAAAACACTATAATCACTGAATGTCTTCAAACACGAATAATAACATTCAAGGTTATAAATGAAATCATTTTTTTAAAAAAAAAAAAAAAAAAAAAACATTAAAAATCTTCCCAAAACTATACGTTTGATTATTAAAAAACTTTACTTTGTCTACTGAACATTTGCTTATGTATTATTAAAAATAAAAACATAAGTAACACTATATATATATATATATATATATATATATATATATATATATATATATATATATATATATATATATATATATATATATTGGGTACCCATTAGGGTCGGTTTCGGGTACGGATATGGGTACCTGACATATAGAACCATCCCCATCCCCATCCCCATCTTTTGTATTCGGGTAATACCCATCTCCGTCCCCGTGCCCGATCAACTCGGGGATTTACCCGATCAACTCGGATTAGGGTTTCGGGTACCCATCGGATATGGTTTTGTTTTTGCCATCTCTACTTTTGAGGACAAAAACAATTATGCGCCACCACAAATCGTATTATTTAGCTTATTTGAGTTCAATAGTGTTGGACAATAATATCACATTATCAACATATTAATAGCTATATCATCATAATCTATTCATAATAATCAAAAAAAAAATTAAATGTTTATAAATGTGTCACATATGTATTTATTTATAATTTTAATTATCTTAGATCATAAAAGTAAAAGATATATTTTTGGTAAAGAATATTATGGGCGTGTGTGACAAATGATGTTTTGGAGCTTCTAACTTTACATAACGTTTAAAAAAATGCTAGCAGTTACCCGCTACCATTTATTCTTCCTAAACGTGTTTTATATATAGTGAAACTAAAACAAAGTGTTGATGGCCTTTTATAGGCTTCTTTGATATTTTACATAAATAATCTGTATTATTTATGTATTGTCATTTAATATGTATTTAACATATTAATTAAATAAGGTATAATTGTCATTCAATATGTATTTAACATATGATAATTGACAATTTTATTCTTAAGGACCAGGGGATCAAGTTTTGAAAACCATGGAATGCATCACGTCAAAAGTTCAAAAGTTGGACTAGAGATGAACTTTTAACCCAAAACGAAACCGAAACAGGTTGGAACCGATTAGTGGTATTCGGTCTAGTTCCCCTAATTCATCATTTTGGTTTTTGATTCTTTGAGTGATCCGGTCCGAACCATTTTCTTTACTAAACACATTCTTAGATAGCACGCGTCCTAATAGAAACGAAATGGAATCGGTTGCAATTGGATACTGATATTCGATATGTTCTTAGTTCATCAATCACTCCTTAACCAATTTTCGGTTCTTCGTTTTCACATCTCTAAGTTAGACTAAAATAGATATTAGTGTAAACCATAGAGTCCAAAACTATAGTTTACGCTTACTTGATTTTATTTTAATTCTTAATAAAAAAATTACCACTACACCACTGATCACCATTACACAACCACCAACCACCATACTAACAGACCCAATATACCACATTACCATCATTACTACCATAAATTTGAAATCCCTACACTAAAATATAAACCCCAACCTTAAATCATAATGAAGACCCTAATCCATCATACAACCACTACAAAATTTAAATCATACTTAAAAATTAAATCATACCAAGAAATGATAGACAGATAATGTAGTCATGGTTGGAGTTAGGCGGGTGGAGTGAGAAAATGAGTGACTTTCCTTTTGCTCGATGATGGTCCCAAAGGTAATAAGTTGGTTTTCTTTACGGTCATCTCGGAGAGAAATAGAGACACACACACACACACACACACACACACATATATATATATATATATATATATATATATATATATATATATATATATATAGAGAGAGAGAGAGAGAGAGAGAGATTGTACAAGGGTGGGGTTAGGGGTATCAATTTATGACATGACACATAAAAAAATACACACGAAATGAAATCGGGACGAAATCAAAATTCGAATTCGTGTTCGTGTCAAGTTTAAAAAATACGATGTCGTATCGTGTCATGTTCGTGTTCACAAATCGACATGAAATTGACACGATTGAACATGTGTTTGTCGTGTTATGTTTGATTAAGTATGAATTAAATAAACTAATGGTTATGTAATGATATATTTGTCGCTTTGTCTTGTTTAATTAGTTCGTTTTCGTATTAATGATAAAAAAACACGAAATCATTTCGTGTCATGTTCGTGTTATATAAAATATTATCGTGCAGTATCGTGTCAGACCAAAACACAACATGGTTGCCCGATTTTACAACCCTAGGTGGGGTTTTCTAGAAACTCAAAGAAAAGGTGGTGATCTAGTTACCATTGGCGGAGAAGATATAATTGAGGATTGTCGGGTTATAAGCGGAGGCGGATTCTCTCTTCAAAATGGAGAGGTAAAGAGCGTTATACTTTAGGGTATAACAATCTCATAGGCCGCTAAGTGTGTAATTTTTTGAAAACCATAAGGAAGAGCCATATCAATTTTTGAGACCGAAGGGACCAAAAAATTATAGCGTACTATTTTATGTACAGTTATCTAATAATTTGAAAATAACAAACGAAACAGAAAAGCATATGCCAACTAATGGACAAATAATTCAAGTGGCAGTAAACGTGGGAATCTGTCTAACTAGTGGGCTCCCTTCACTTTCTATAGAAAATAAAATTTTATTCCATAATTTTAGATTTAAAAACAAACATAAATTAAAGTTTAAAAGACCTTTTTATGTACAGTTTTTTAAATTAACAATTATGACTATTGGATTTCTATATTAATTAGAAGATAGAGAAAGTGTTAGTTATAATCTTTTCTTAAATTAGTTTATATTTTATTTACATAATTTATTTATCAGTTAATGTAGATATTTAAATTTCAAAACAAATTATAATGTTTATAAGATAAGAATATCTAACGAAAATGACTACAACACAATGTATTTGACCAAAATTTTCTTCTCACTTTATAGAAAATACATCGAGTGCGATACAAGGCATCCCGGGAATCAATAAATATATAATGTATATTGCTTTCTCAATTGCAACGAATATTTTTCATTCCCCTATTCTTGAAACTATAATTTCGAATTGTCTAATACAATCAGTATTTTTTATTTTTATCAAATCTTATCTTTTAAGTTTTTGTAAGTCCAAGTGTATTATTTTTTTCATAAAACTAGTTGAAAATTTTTATATAGTAATGGTCATTTTAATAATATAAAAAATTGGATTATTTTCTTATATTTCAATATTTAAAATTTAAAATGTTCAAACTTGTAAATATCCTTGTTTATATAGAGGATAAGATAATAAGTAACTGAAACACAATACTAACATTATAGTTCACTGTTTTACGTATTTTAAAGTTATTCTAATACCACTAGTTTTTCAATGATATTATGGTTATCCTCCACATTGATATAATATATGGAGTGTATATGACAAAAGTAACGGTTAGCTCAAAGTTGGGAGCAAATAAATGGAAGTTATATCTTTTATTTGTTATATGAGTGTTTGAACAATTGAAAACTTTTAAAATATGTAAATTTACATAAAAATACAATTGTTTAAAAAAATATATAAATATATTTTTAAGGATAATTCTGTTATTTGACTTGAAAAGCTGAGTAGCTTTCTGTTAAACACTATATGAAATAACTTTTATATTTAGAACGTTTTATTTAAACTAAAAGTGAAACACTTGTACTGTTAAATAAAGTTTTTTGTTTAAACTGAAACGTTTTGTTAAAAGCTAAAAACTAAAAAATCTGAAATGCTCCCAAATACTCTTTTTCAAAATTCATCTTTACTACATATTAGCATTTATTTTATACTTCAAAAAATATTTTAATTATATAATTAATATAATGATTAATGTAATGCATTTATAAATGGGTAAAGTATATTATATTTATTAATATTTAATATATAAAATCAATTTTGTTTTCATAAAAAAGTGCTTCACCTCCAATTAGTTTATATTTTTTTTGGACAATTTTATCTTGTAAACAATTCATCTGATCATTTTATTAGTCTGATCTTCATTCAAGGTAGATAAAATAGAGATAGATTTTCCACCTCTAATGCTATGGCGAGTGAGGCTCGCTACCACCATCGTTAGAGCGTGTTACACCGCCTCCTGGCTCGTGCCTTGGAGCTTGTTGGGGAAGTTTCGCCAACACCATAGTGAGAGAGAAAAGAGAGAGAAGGGGTATTGATGGCTTCTAATTGGTTCTTAGTTATTGTTTTCTTTTTTAATTTTTTTCCTCCAAAATCACCCATATTAAATTAACAAACTATCACTACCTATCTTAGTTGTGTAAGACATGCTAAACTTACATGGTTTAAAAAAACTAAAAACTTCTATGTGACAATCTATCCTCCCTCCGCCTAAGATTATAACATTAGGCCTCCACAGGAAAGCGACTCTCTAAAAGGGCCCACTTTAATTTATATTTTTTGGACTAATTTAACGTGTTTATTAGATGTCGTTTATACATACCACATACCAATTTTATAGTTAAACGTCTAATATTAAGTGTAAATTTTAGAAAAAGACATAAAACAAACAATAAATAAGTTTTAGAGGAATATGTACCGAACTTCCAACGAGCTTGAACAAGACCAAGTTCACTGTTATAATGAAGAAACGGGATAGTTTTCTTGAGAAAGTCAGGTTCTGGTTGAAAATCGGCATCAAAAATAGCCACATACTCGCACTCATTAGCATAACAATGCTCTAAACCTTCTTTAAGTGCTCCTGCTTTATATCCCTTTCGATTGTCTCTCACTTGATAATGTATGTTTGTACCTTTACATGCCCATTTTTCACACTCCACTTGCACCATACCCTACTTCCCCCATTTGAATCCAAACCAATGGTAAAATAAATTTTACAAAAATCAGTATCTAATTATGATGATTTTTTTTTTTTCATATAAATAGCCAAGTTTTTGGTAAATAGAACATATAAACTACTGATTAAGGTTTTGTTTACTCAATCAATTAAACAAGTTATAAGTAAAGTCACAGAATATAATATTATTAAACAAATGAATGTTCTAACTCTATTTAAACAATTTTTCTTTTTGAAAAATAAATAAAGTTAGATGTTTGAAAATAAGTGTATTGTGTTCATTTATGTTTGAAATCTCATATTTTAAAAACTCATAAATAATCACATGCTGTAACCCTTTTAGTCATAAATAAACAAACTTTATTTTCCTTTATAACAGAAAGCACTATATGTTATTGGTGTCACGTTTCCAAAAACCAATAATAAGAAATTATACTTCACTTTTATTTTGGATTGCGTAATGAATAATAGTAGAACCAAGATGGTCCTTGATACAAAATGGAAAATAAAATTAAACTTTTTATGTGGCTCTCGAAAATACCATTGCTAACAATATATATATATATATATATATACACCAAAAAAAACGGTATTAATTGTACTAGGTTTGACATTTATTATTTACCTTGATGATAGGATCCGTTGAATCATCAAGAACTTGAATCACAATACGATTAGCCGGCCATGAAAGCCCACATGCAGCTCCAATGGAAAGCTGATAAACCTGTTTTGAAGAAAAAAAAAAACACTAAAAACAAAAACAAAGCACAAAAAACCAAAAGCAAACATAGTGGAAGGGGAATGATGAAAAGAAAACAAACTTCTTTTTCATTGAACATTGGAATTTGAACAAGAACAAGTGGGTAAACAAAGCTCCCTGATTCAATCTCATCTTTGAATTCTTCCCATTTGTAGCGTTTTTCAATCTTTCTTCCAAACAAATAATTGAATGCAATCACCAACGACATGTAAACCATCTCTATGAACAACATTACAGACATCGCAAGAGAAACATACATCAATGTTCTCAGAAATGGCACCAAAACTGGGACTTTGAATCGTTCCCAGGTGTCGATAAGTTTCTCAATGATGTCGTCTCCATCAAGTGTAAACGATTCTATTGCAAGTTTGATTGTCGAAAGCCTCCCCATTTGGTCTTGTTTTCTTGTTTACAAAGAAAGATACTGTAAATAGTGCAAAGAGAGACTGCTTAGTTTTTTTGTTGTTTTGGGACAGGATATTATCGAAGGGAAAGCCGAAAAAATGGACTTTAAACAAAACCCATCTAAGTTAGAGCCGAATGAACAGTTAAGAATAATGGAAACATAAAAGAATAATGAGAATGGTTACAGAGAGGATGGGTATATAGGCATGTGCATAGAAAGATAATAGACAATTTTGTTTTAAAGGCAAATTACAAAATTTATACTTTAATTATTTTCTATTATTAAACATGTCCAATATTCAACCATGTCACTCAACATTATTAGACAATTTCTTATGGTTCAAAAAAATTCCTTAAAATGGTCCTTTTTTTTTTCGACAAAAATTGTCAGACTAATAGTCTTTATGTATAATGTCCGTGAGAGACGTTAAGTTCTCTATAGTGACTATTTGTCAAATTTTGTAAAACTTTGCATAAGAAACATTTGTGAAGTATTTAAAAAGTTGTTTAAATTTTGTATTAATTATTATAAATCAAATAAAAACACACAAAAAAAACATAGAAAATGTAATATTTATATATATAAAAAAAATAAAACATATTAAATTCAATTAATATGTAAATATATTTATTTAATATTTTTTGTTATGTAAAGTTTATCTAAAACACTTAAACTATAATATATAATTAAATGAAGATCATATGGTAAAATAATTAATCATTCAATAAAAACAAATTATATTTGGACAAAGTTTGTTATTCTGATATATATTTTAACCAAACCAATTAAATTGAATTTTATTTTTTTCTATTTCAGTTAATATATTTAAAGTTAATATGTTTTATTGATTGTTCGTATTTTATTTTTAATTGAAGACAGCAATGAACTTATATTATAAACTAAAATGGAAACTATAAGAAACGGGTTGTTTAGATTAATTATGTTGTAGAGTGTTATCTTGATGCTAAAAGCATTTTGGTCATTTTTATGTTATTAAGATTAGTCAAATGTTTTGATAATATTTTATGAATTTGTAAAGTGTTATGAATTTTATTATGTAACTTCCCAAAACTTATGATAAAAATTACATTTTAATTATAATAAACCATCAACCAAAACGTGTATATAAAAACCATACAAGAAAATCATAATATGTCAATCAAACATCCCAATACATTAGAGTCATATAAAGCAGAAATCGTAGTGTGTGTGATGCAATCATACCGAGCTCTTCCCATTCGATCCGGAGGTACTTGAAATATAAACTGAAAATCATAAGCACGAAGTTTAGTGAGTCCCCCAAAATATCTCATGCCATACATATCAAACATACAATGGGCCACGCCCAAAAACTATCGGGCCTGCCTGACTTCCGACCTCACACAACTAGAAATCACACTTAGAGAACCTCACATACAACCTCTCTATCCTCAGAGTCTA